TGAAATACATGTATAATTTAAAAATGGAAAATAAATTGAAAAAATTTTTCGACTCGGGCAGGACTTGAACGGCATCGTCAGCGTTCCGTGCTGTTGCTCTATCAATTCTCTCTCAATTGACAATTAGGACTCGTTAGCTCAATTGGTAGAGCAACAGCACGGAACGCTGACGATGCCGGTTCAAGTCCTGCCCGAGTCGAAATTTTTTTTCTTTTTCGATTTTTAAATTACTTAAACATGTTTCAAAATTTGAGCATTATTTTGATAACCTTCTTCTTGTTGAACTAGTGACGGCCGGCAATCGTTGTATTAAAATTCTATATCTGTAGTCTTTAGCCAAATAACTATATGAAATCATATTTGTTGAGTAATTAAAAAAAAGAATAATCTTATTACGCAACATGGCGACCAAAAAGGTAACTTATCAAAGGTTTAATTTAAATTTCAAAATGGCCTACTTATAAAAAACGGTTTAGTAACGTTACCGCGTTTGTTGAAGCTCTCTAGAATAAATGTCATTTTTCTGTTCTCTCTGGGTCAATTGCTATAGCGTTACTCATCATTCATCAATCCCAGTCTTCATTCAGTTGACATCTGCGTCAAAACGATGAAATTCAAATCTCTCTTATCTAGGCGAGCGCGACCTATAAAAAACCCGTTACTTTGCAGTTTTTCCAAGAGATCGCTTGATTTTGCGATAACTTAAAAAAGCTTTTTCGCTACATTAAGCCTCGAAGGTTTTCAGAGGCCGTTACATTGGGTTAGTTGACGATAATGTTCGACCTTCGTGCGAATTAACATTTATGCTATAAGTATGGGCCTAGGGACGGGGACTTTTTAAACATCGACACAAATTATACTAGGTAACTTTGTTGTGCTTTTAGCTACTATAAAATAAGTCCAAAACATAGTTGACAGTAATACTCTGTCTCTATCAATTTTAACGGTCTTAAACGACGAATTTATTTGATCGTTTAATATTAACTACGCTTCTAATCGCTAATACTTGCATTATATTAATGGTATTACATTTAAAATATCATAGTCAGTTCAAGTTAATAAATCTAGGATTCTATTTTGCTTTCTTTACTTTTGTAGAAGTTTTACATTGCATGAGGTTAAAAAGTCATGCGTTTGAATTCCAGCAAATATGATAAATTAAACAAGGCACAAAATGTTATTTGTACACGTACCTTAGTTTCCTATGTTTTAGATAGTTTATAGATACTTTCAATCTGCACCGATGGAAAGTAATTTGAAATGAAAGCACTTTTATCTACTCTATATTATAAATTATAAAAGCAATGGACTTTGAGTTAAGAACACCCAAGTACTAGAGATTAAGTGGAGCGTTTACGAAGCTCCGTTCAGATGCGCTTTAACACTTAGCTTAAGACGTCAGTCGGTATAAAACCTCAGCTGCAAACAGCTATACGGCGCCAAGACGGTATTCTATCGTATTGCTATTGACTACCTTGAATTTCTGATATGTGACTTTAATATTTATAGGTAAATATTAACTTTTCATATCAAAAAGATAAATAACAAGTAACTTTATTTATATTCTTGATATATTTATATAAGTGATATCTAACAAATATTATAAATGCGAAAGTAACTCTGCCTGTCTGTCCGGCTTTAACTCCGAAAGTACTGAACTGATTTAAATGAAATTTAGTACACAGGTGTTTTAGAGCCTGAGAAAGGCTATAATATAAATATTATATTATACTAGTGATATAAATGTTATTTAATAATAATGATTGTTACTGTAATAGTTACAGTTATGCATAATTACTCTTTATTTAACAAGTAAAAGATAACATTTTCAATCAGATCTTTATAGTAAATAAGCCTAAATTGTTCCAAATATCTTTTCGTGAAACAATAAAACGTCACTAAATATACAATGTTATATATAATTTTACTTGAAGTTCAACAAAAAATATTATTTGGCTTCATTAATTTCAAACACTCAGTAAAATGGCTGTAACAATTTTACTTTACAAATAAGCGGATGAAGCAAAATTATATACAATGAAACCGAAGAAATACTTTACATCGAATGGATAATACATATATAAAACTCACATGACTAATAGAGCAGTATTTGTATACTAAGTAAGTTACCACGTTAGCTTATTTTTTTTAGTATAATAATATTCTTTATTGTTCTAAAGAAACTCTAACGCTAAAGTGGGAAAATTATAGATAAAAAAGCTAATAATACCAGTGAACTAAACTTTTCGTTATCACAGACAACTGTTAGGGTGTAATATTTGTAATGGATTGGAAAGTGTAGAACTTTCGGCGTTTGGGTCATAAATGTTTCAACAATACCCAACCCGGAGTTGTAACGTAATGTAATATCTAATTTCTCAACAGATACACATAATTGTCAGGGTTAGTTCACGTTGAAATAAAAGATGATAAGTGATTCTAGCAAGTGGACATTGAAAAATTATTTTAATAACACTAGGTTGTTAGTGTTAAGTAAAAGTATTTTTTTATGATAGAGGCGGACAGAGAACATGTCGTTCACTTGACGGAAAGTAAAATACGGCCTATTTTGACTTAGGAATTCTTTATTTTTGACTTTTCGGAACATCACGAACCAAAAAGTACTTAAACTTCACGGTTTTTTCATCTGTGGTGGTTCGTGACCCGGACGGAATTGTGATATTACTACCGTCATATATCAAAAAGATAAATATTTTATACCACGACTAAAGATCGTAACCGAACGTGTATACTTACGTATATATAAACTAAACCAACATAACACTTCTTCGTATGTCAGCGTAGTTCTATAAATTTAAAAAACTATTTAGTTTGATAAAATTTTACGACGCGGGCAAGACTTGAACCGGCACCCACAACGTATAATGTGTAATGTGAAAAATATTATTGTTTTCCAACAGTTATATAATATATATATAGTATAGTATATATACTAGATGCATATATTATAAGCTAATATTCTGTAGTACATTTTTACAGGAAAAATTAAATGAAAGTCAAAAAAGGTCTATCCAATTTTGCGCTGTGGTTTTTAAACCGACATAACTTTTTAAGGTAAATCAAGCCAAGTTCATTAAAGTAGCCTTTGAGTCCTGTAAGTACGCGCCTTTATTTATGTAATGAATTTTCAACTTTATATTATTAGGCTGAAGCTATTATTACTGTTTCTAACGGCCCAATATGAGAAACAATGTGGACTGTCAAATGTTATACGAGAGATGGGTAGTGTAAGGTTATAGTTGATAGTTGGTAGATTTCAATTGAAAACTTTATTAATTTTACATGTTATTGCACATGAAGGCATTATATAATTTAAAAATCGAAAATAAATTGAAAAAGCCCAGCCCGAGTTGAAAATTTTTCAATTTATTTTCGATTTTTAAATTATATAGATTTCAATTGAATTTAATTTATGAAAATTACTATAGTAGCAAAGTAAAACAATAATTTAGGGCGTAATGTATTAAATAAAGTTGGTTTAAAGTGACCTCCAGGTAGTCTTAGGCACCAGAAACTCACCCTGGGTATACTTATAAATGATAAAATTGTCCTCAAACACGGAATTGCAATTACGGCCCACATTTATTCCCAAATCCATGTCGTTGTGCTCGACGAAGCGCGTAAATTTATATGCATCCACGGAACTTAATCATAATAATGGTCTGAGTATATTTGCAAAAATGTGTGTAATCCGCGCAAGAAAAATACCGGGAATTCCTTTTTTCATTCATTTCTTTTCGCTTAACATTTCTATTTTCGTATTGTAATCAACTGATTTGGATATATAATAGGAGTGATACAAATATTGAGAAGTACATCTTGGTCTAGTGGTATGGTCGGTTCGATTTTCGGTTGAGCACAAAATATTGGTGCTTTGCGGTGAAGATTACACATTCGATCAAATATTGTATCGCCTACAAATGTGTATCTGTCCAGTGACATTGTCCTTTTAGGCAGTTTTAGTGGACCTAGCAGTGAGAAAAATTATGATTGAGATAATATTTACTCCAGTCATATAACAAAATGTGTTGTTGACCTATTTTGACTTTTTTTAGTTTATTGAATCCACAGACTGAAATCGAAACGCTATTCAAATTCAAGGCTTTTCAACTGTGGACGGTGTGTTGTGAGATGGACGGAATTTTCAATATTTCTACCGCCCATTTAATATTAATATTTCCAGACGTATATTACAAATAATATAGCTTTTGCAAACTTGAATATAAAGATATAAATTTGTTCAACCTCGACACTTTTTTCAAAAGGCCTTTTCATAATTTTAGTAAGCATACAAACTCCATTAGAATTAATGACCAGTCCTTTCAAAGTAACATTACGAATGAAATATTCTTAATACGAACGTATTTCACTAAATGTTGAGGAATATTAACGGTCTCCAGTGCTCCAACAAAATATTTATTTCTCAGCTTACGTGTTCGTTTAATATAATCACATTTAACAGTTTTCTTTTGAGTTGCAAATTGCACGATTGGGTCTAAACTGAAAAGACTAACCGTTGCCACAGCTCGGATAAGGTTCATTCCATGATTATGTGGCATTATATAGATATATAATGCCACATAATCATGAAATGAATTATATATAATGCCACATAATCATGGAATGAATCTTGCTGGTCAACATACAGTTGACCAGCGAGATCGCTGGTCAACTGTATGTTGACAGATGACATATAAGAAAAATTCGAAAATTATGTTCTACTCGTGTCGCTTTCCCTTTGATGTTTTCTCTTACTCACGTTAGTCTACTGTCTGACGAACGTTCACTAAGATTAATTTCAAAGGGACATATTTATTTGACCGTAGTTCTTTGTTACATGGTAGCACCAGGGTTAAACGCGATGCCTACCATTACGTTAAACTCGGATGTCTAATCGATATTTCCTTCGAGACGGCTGTTATTCAGATTTCTCGCGCAGTGATGTATTGATAAGAGAAACGTACAATAAACAGTTTAAAATGAACGCGGATACCAAAAAACTCATATCAAACCAGTATGGTAGAGTGAATGTACAACCCATAGAAAGATGTCGAGTGAACTTCTGCACAGATATGGAAAAATCCGTCTTAATGAGCAACTTTGAACGACGGGGCTGGAACCAAGTCGGACAAGACGATGAGTGGAACTTCTACTGGGCGTCTACTCAGACCTGCCGAAACCTCTTCAGCGTCGAGAGCGGATACCGAATGAACGACAACCAAATGATTAACCACTTCCCCAACCACTACGAGCTATCGCGGAAGGACTTGCTCGTAAAAAATATCAAAAGATATAGAAAAGAATTAGAGAGGGAATCGAGTCCGATCGCCGAGAAGGCGGAAGTGGTACTCCCCGGTGGTCAAATGGTCAATAGATACGTTCATCTCGATTTCATCCCGGTTACTTTCGTTCTCCCAGCAGACTACAACATGTTCGTCGAAGAATATCGAAAGTCGCCACAAAGTACGTGGATTATGAAGCCGTGTGGCAAATCCCAGGGCACAGGAATTTTCCTTATAAACAAACTATCGAAGTTAAAGAAATGGTCTCGCGAGGCTAAGGCCCCATTTCATTCTCAACTGAGCAAGGAAAGCTACGTGATATCCCGTTACATCGACAATCCTTTACTTATCGGCGGAAAAAAGTTCGATCTTCGTTTATATGTATTGGTAACATCGTTTCGACCTTTGAAAGCCTATTTATTCCAATTGGGGTTCTGTAGATTCTGTACGGTCAAGTACGACACGAGTGTGACGGAACTGGATAATATGTACGTACATTTGACTAACGTTAGCGTGCAGAAACACGGCGGTGATTACAACAATATACACGGTGGAAAAATGAGTGTTGAATATTTGCGTTTATTCTTGGAAGGTACGAGAGGTCGAGCGGTCACTGAAAAGTTATTTGCGGCAATGCAGTGGCTTATCGTGCACTCTTTGAAAGCAGTTTCATCAGTTATGGCGAACGACAGACATTGCTTTGAGTGCTACGGTTACGATATAATCATAGATGACCAACTAAAACCGTGGCTTGTTGAAGTTAATGCGTCCCCGTCTTTGACTTCCACCACTGTTAATGACAGAATTATGAAGTACAAGCTAATAGATAATATTATTTCTGTCGTGCTACCGCCAGATGGCATTCCTGATGTTCGTTGGAATAAAGTGCCAAGTCCGGAAGCCTTGGGTAACTTTGATTTGCTCATTGATGAAGAATTATTGGAGAAAGAAGAGTCGGGTAGCGCTGGTCGAGCCTATAAAGGTAATAAGAATAGAAGTTAATAATAACATTATTTACGAAATGCTAAAGTTAATAACACACTATACTATTACTAAGAAAAAAGTTTGTTAGTAAATTTGATAAAATTGTGTGTAGGAAAGAAGTTATTAAAATTATCGTACAATTGTAAACAAAGGTTTGAAACTTTTATAATTTAAATAAAACACTTTAACAATTTAAAACGCGATATATTAGTTAAACTTATTTGAAAATGATTTTTAACTTCGGCCCGACGTTTAAAGATGGAGGATGTCTCTGACGTCAAAGTAAAAAATTGCTACGCTAGCGCCATCTGTTCCGTCGAAGTTGGTATTTGGTATCTTTGCTAACTTTTATGATATATAATTATTTTTGGCGACAGGCATACAGACAAAGTGGAATAATAGTATCTGTAATAAATAAGTCAGATGGGTAAGCTTGAGATTTTATATGATGTTTATCAATGTCTAGACAATAAAGAAACTAGCGAACTTACAGCGAATAGCTCAACATAGTGGATTAAAGTGCTTCTTGTTTATGCGGTGAACACTCTGCTAATTTGCATTTTAATGTTTGTAGTCCAGGAAAAATATTGCTACTTCGCTTCTAGCATAACTTCCCACGAGTGTTCTATATGTTAAGTAGGCAACACAACGGCGCTTAATAGTGCAAAACTTCCGTGAAACGCCGCTTAAACTTGCGACTTAAAAACGTTGATTAAAGCCGGTCTTGCGGTTTATGGGAAAATATAGTGTATCGGGCTCTTATAAGCCCTAGCGAAAATATGACGTTATAATAAGCAATTATTACATGTAATATATACATAATATATTATTTACAATATTATATCGTGTGTTGTAAATTTTAAACTATTTCTAATATACTCTTTGTAATCTTAACAGATAAGTAATCTTAGTTGAAAAATAAATACTTTACCCAATTATAATGTTATTTTAAACACGACTATAAGAATGTTAACTTTAAAAATGTATTAAAGATAGAGGAAGCCAAAAGTTTGTAAGCCTTTTGCGAAACTTTCGCGGAAGGGCGAGAAGGTATGAAACTTTACACACTTTTAGTTTAATTAATTAGAAGTAAAGTATGTACTCTTATACAATTATTTCTTAAATCAATTAATTAATACAAATAAAACATATTAACGGTTTAAAACGCGATCTATATTAGTTAAACTTATTTGCATACATTTTTAACTACGGCCCAACGTTTCGGATGCTTTGCAGCAGCCGTGGTCACGGAGACTCCGAAACATCGGGCCGTAGTTAAAATATTATTTAAATAATATATATCTCATTTAAAACCGTTAAAATGTTTCCTTTAAACGTGTACTACTCGCGTAAACAAGAGACAATTATCAATTTATTAATTAAACACACTTACACATATAATTTACTCTTATTTATGGTGTTTAGTCAAAATAAATCAATAAGTCGAATTTCGACCTCGTGGTCCTTTATTTCGACCACAAGTGAGCTAAAACTAAATAACTTGTGTAGTAACAAGTTCGGTGATCGACGAGAGTCAGCGATCGTCGTGAATATTTTAACGTCACGTTTTTTGCTTCCAAATTGCGAATTCTCAACTTCGAAGGAAAAATTTTGAACGAAATTATGCAACTCGAAAGTTTGATTAAATTTTTCCGTGTAAAATGCACAAATCTTTAAAGTGGAGCGTTATCTAAAAATCTTTAGTGGTAGTTTTTGTTTCATTATTTAAATGAAGTGGGAATGTAACTTCCTTATAACAATTTAATCGAAATTAAATACTTGTATTATCCTACTTCTCTTTCCTTTGTCCTGTTCTATTATTTATTTGAGGTCCAACTTTTCACTATTAAACACTCATAATATCAGGATCAGACCAAGAAAATTAATAATTCACATGTATAATATTCCGTCGGACCGCCTCTGTAGCCAAAGGGTTAAACGTATTGCCTAGCTTTGTGTTAAACGCGAGAGGTCCTAGGTTCCAATCCCAGGGAAACAAAATGTTTTGGTCGGGCAAGGCACAGAAGTCTGATCAACTACTTGCCCGTTAAGGAACGGATCCGTGAAACGAACACAATAATGTGTTCGCCCCATGCCCCACGAGGGGGAAATAGGATTTCACTACTATAATATTACATCTAACATCCATTGAAAACCAGATTAATATGAAATCAATGAAAAACTTAGTGAAAAGTTACCCGACAGGTAAATGAAATGAACAGAAAATTGCATTCAATCGGAGATACTTTCTATAACCTGACTCGCTGCCTAATTTAACACAAAAATGGTTGAACGTAAAAGTTTTCGTTGCGCCCTATAAAGAATGGAATTCAGCCGTTTTTATTCTCTACTTATAAAGCCGAAGAGTTTGTTTGTTTAAATGTGCTAATCAGAAACTTAAAGTTCGAATTGAAAAATTATTTTATTTTGGTTAGATCATTTATTGAGGAGCGAAGAAACAGCGGGAAATGTGGCAAAAACGGGGAGAATTATTCAACTTCATATATTCACGTATACCGATTCAAATATACCGTTTATTGAGCGGCGAAGTGGAGTCTCATATTTTTTACAAAGATTTTTAAAGGTCTTGTTAAAGTAAAATTTGCTACGTTATTTTTGGCTATCTCGTTGAAAGCGCACTTCGTTGAGTTGTCGGTAAGCTTTTAGAAAGTTTCGAATAAGTATTATCTACATAACAACACGACTAACGACCGTTAACTCTATATTCTTTAATCCTGTTTATAATTTGAAGGCATGATAAGGAATTATTGTTAACTTTTGACTCCGTTAATTTATATTGTTTTATATGTTTGTTGTTTCAGAAGTTCCGTCGTAACAGTCAACTTATGTCGTAAACGTAGCAATCAAATCAAATTTTAATGAATTTAGTTGTGTGTTGAACTTAGTTGTGAATATTGACATTTTGAGACATATTTAAAAAAAACAAATGCCAGTGTCAACATGATTATTTAAATTATTATTTGTAATTTAGGACACGTTATTTATTTTTTTATAGCGCTATTTTTCTTTGTTTTTCTTTTAGTTTTGTTATAATGGCTTTAGAAAATAAAAAGACACAAAACGCTCATACTAAATCTCTTATACCGGCTCGAGAGGGGGAGAAACGTGTTACGTATTGCACTGACTTAGAAAAATCAGTCATAATGACTAACTTCGAACGCCGTGGCTGGATACAGGTAGGGCCAGAAGACGAGTGGAATTTCTACTGGTCATTCACCCAAAACTGTCGAAATATATTCAGTATTGAAAGCGGTTATCGAATGAACGATAACCAAATGATAAACCATTTTCCAAACCATTACGAATTGTCAAGAAAAGATTTATTGGTGAAAAACATAAAGCGGTACCGAAAAGAATTGGAACGTGAAGGAAATCCCTTGGCTGAAAAGATGGAGGTCACCCTCCCCAACGGGCAGATTGTCACGCGTTACACGCACTTAGATTTTATACCAGTTACCTACGTCTTACCTGCGGATTACAACATGTTTGTGGAGGAGTATAGGAAATCCCCACAAAGTACATGGATTATGAAGCCGTGTGGTAAATCGCAGGGCGCTGGAATTTTCCTTATAAACAAATTATCCAAGCTTAAGAAATGGTCGCGCGAGGCGAAAACACCTCTCCACCCACAGATCAGTAGTAAAGAGAGCTATGTTATATCGCGGTACATCGATAACCCACTTTTGATTGGCGGCAAGAAATTTGATTTAAGGTTATACGTTTTAGTCACTTCGTTTCGTCCATTGAAAGCTTATTTGTTTCAACATGGGTTCTGTCGATTTTGCACCGTCAAATACGACACGAGTGTTACAGAATTGGACAATATGTACGTGCATTTAACGAACGTAAGTGTACAGAAACACGGCGGCGACTACAACAGTCTGCATGGTGGTAAAATGAGTATACAAAACTTCCGCCTCTACCTCGAGGGTACACGTGGTCGGCCCGTAACTGAAAAACTGTTCGCTGAAATGCAATGGCTGATCGTACATTCTCTAAAGGCCGTAGCTCCGGTAATGGCGAACGATCGGCACTGCTTCGAATGTTACGGTTACGATATAATTATCGATAACGCATTAAAGCCATGGCTAATTGAAGTTAATGCTTCTCCATCGCTTCAGTCCACTACGCACAATGACAGGATCTTAAAGTACAAATTGATTGATAATATTGTATCTGTTGTCGTTCCCACTGGTGGCATACCGGACGCGCGGTGGAACAAAATTCCCTCTGATGAAGCTTTGGGCGACTTCGACCTTTTGATTGATGAAGAACTGATGGAGCGGGAGGATGTGAACTCACGTTATTATAGATATCATCGAATGAAACAATAACATTTATCTACATAGTATTTATTATATTGAATAAAGTGATTAAAGTAGAAGCTTAATTGTTTCTATCAGAATTAATCTCAGGGTTTTTATTCAAGAATTCCTCGTCAATTAGTGTATCAAAATCACCCAATGATTCAGTACTAGGGGTTTTGTTCCAGCGCGCATCAGGTACACCATCTGGCGGCAGTACAATTGATAGTAAGTTTTCCACTAAATTGTATTTCAATATTCTATCGTTAGTTGTGGTCCCTGTCATCGAGGGCGAAGCGTTCACTTCAATCAGCCACGGTTTCAAATTGTCATCAATGATAATATCGTAGCCATAGCATTCGAAACAGTGTCGATCATTAACCATCACCGGAGCTACAGCCTTTAAAGAATGTACGATCAGCCACTGCATCTCCTCAAATAGCCGTTCGGTCACCACACGGCCTCTTGTACCTTCTAAATACAATTTTAAATTTTGTATCCCCATTTTCCCCCCGTGGTGCACATTGTAATCTTCGCCGTGTTTTTGCACACTAACATTCGTCAGATGTACATAAATATTATCGAGCTCGGCTAGACTCGTGTCATACTTCAATGAACAGAATCTGCAAAAACCATTCCGGAACATATAAGCTTTTAAGGGCCGGAAAGATGTAACGAGGACGTAAATCCTCAAATCGAATTTCTTACCCCCGATCAAAAGGGGATTATCAATGTAACGTGAAAGAACATACGTGTCCTTGCTAGTCAGTTGGTGTTGTAAATATTTTTTTGATTCTCGGGACCACTTTTTCAGCTTCGAAGGCTTATTTATCAAACATATTCCGGCGCCCTGGGATTTTCCACACGGTTTTAGAATGTACATTGTTTGCGGCGACTTGCGGTAGTCGTCAAGGAAAAGGTTGTAATCTGTGGGTAGGATGTACGTCGTGGGAATAAAATCTAAATATAAATAACGATTGACAGTCTGTCCGTCAGCGAGTTTAATTTGCCCTTTTTCGGCGAGGGGATTGTTGTCTTTCTCCAGATCCTTACGGTAACGTCTTATGTTTTTCACCAATAGATCTTTGCGGACTAACTCGTAATGATTGGGGTAGTGATTTATCAGTTGATTATCGTGTAATCTATATCCATTCTCCAGGTTGAAGATATTTCGACAGTTTAACGTATTGGACCAGTAAATATTCCAATCATCTTCAGGGGAAACCTCCTTCCAACCTCGCCTTTGAAAACTGTTGATAACTATCGATTTATCGAAGTCTGTACAGAAGCGGACATGTTTTCGGTCTCGAATGTTTTTCTTCATGTTTAAACAATAGGGGTTATTGAACAATGACGTCATTCGAAAAATAACTGTAAACTTATAATCATAAACGCATATTTTCATAACCTTCTAGAGTAGTGAATATTTTGAGTTATGACATTTGACATATATATGTCACCCGAATATCTTTATGAAGAAACTATCATCAAATAGGTACAATATATTATGTCTGCCTAATTTTTTTAGTGCTCTTAAATCTTATATAAATATATGGCGAGTTGCTTTTCGTAATGTAACATTTTTCGTGAATCCCGAAAGTAGAATTCTAAACGATTTTACATATGACCCTGGAAGAACCATCATATTGATATATGAGAGAGGAGGACAGGCAAGCATGGGCTTTGCTTGATGGAAGGTTTTGCCTTGACCCTCTGAGATCCAATCGGATACGCCATCGGCCTATTTTGGCTTTAAGTTCGGAAATTCATAGACTGAAACCGAAACGCGAATTTACAGTTTGAGGCTTTGAAAGCTGCACATGATGGCACTATATAGATTAAAAATCGAAAATAAATTGAACAAAATTTTGACTCTGGCACTTGACTCCGCATCGTCAGCGTTCCGTGCTGTTGGTCTAACCATTTGAGCTACCGAGTCCTCCAAGGATTCTCTATCTGAACTAAACGAAGATCTAACCACCTGATTAATCTCCAGATTTTTTATAGTATACTATGTGTAAAATTTATATTTACTGACAAGACAAAGGTTTGTTATAAATTAAAATTGTATAATAAAATATAAGTGTAGTTCTAGACCTTTATAGAAAACGAATATTGTATTCTTAAACAGTAGATTTTATCTTATTATGATAAAAGCTAGGTAACAATGGAAAGTTAGCTGTACTACCCGAATGAATTAGGAAAGTACGTAATATTTTACGCGACAATGAGCGGGGCCGTTTTCTGGCGACTTCATTTATCACACCCTTTATAGTCGAGCGTAATATAAAATTCTTGCGGAATATTTTCTACGTGTCGCCGTTACAGCTTTAAGCAAAAAAGATTAAACGCTTTCTTTTGAGAACATTTACATTTTTACAACAGCAGTGCTAATCTGTAAAATGCCATTGACCATTGTGTCACGTTTGTACGCCGCTTCTACTGATAGTATATTATGTAAATAGACAAAACACTTCAAACATGTATTATTTTTATAATGTTTACATAAAACACTTTTAACGGTTTCAAACGCTCATCAACTACGACCAGACGTTCGAAAGCTGCTGCGCTGCTGCAAAGCATTCGAATGTCTAGTCACTGGGGAATAATTCCGTTATGTTAGCTAATATGTTTGGCGTTTTAAACCGTTAAAATTGTTTTATTTAAATGTGTACTACTCGCGCAGAGACAATACTTATCTAACCAGCATGTTTCCAATGAGAATACTTACATCTCAGTCTCGATGGAATAAGCTAGGCCGGGATAATTTATACTGAAATATACCATACCCGGGTTCGATTTCCGCAGTTTAAATACAACGATGTTGAAATTGTAACGGAGTAAAAACCTTGTGTTCAAATAAATTCACTCGTACGAAATAAAACACAATAACAATTATAAAATATATTCTTATTAACTCAGTCCTATATTTATAATAATTTACTTTACAGTGAAGCATCTTTCACCGGGCATAAATCATAATACACGGGCTTTCCAGCGATCTAGAACCACAGACCGTCTTCTGGTTCCTCTTCACTGTCAGTAACTTGAAGGTCGTCTTGTATAGCAGGCTCGGGCTGAAAAATGATAAGAACAAATTTATAACACTCAGCAGAAACATTTTTATATACGTCCATTATCTATTTTATTCTTTGATAAAAAAATGGCAAGTTTAAAGTAAAAGTTAAGTATGCTCACTCTCCATGTTGTTGTAGGCCAAAGCAGACACACTTTTGTTTTCCATAATTCGTTATTACATTGGCATTTTTAAATGTTTATTACACATACATATATATGAGGCCGCTAGAGAAATAGTAACCTAACTACAATTTATTGACTCGAATTATTTAGTTTTAATAGTCTAAAAATCTTAATCTAAAAGTACACAGTGACCGAAAGTTGTTAAAATAATTTTCACAAAAATATTAGTACTAGATTCATTATCGCCTAATTTTATGGCGCATTTTTATTTTCCTCCTTATTTTTTTGTTATTAGGCCACTCTATCTCTAGCAGCCTCATATATAACTGTGTTATACATTAGTAACTGTGTTGCTTACCTGCCAGTTTTCAGGCGGCTCTTCTTTGAAGTGGGGCGGCTCCGTTGGTATTCCAGGCATGCCACTCATGCCAGGCATACCGGGCATACCGGGCATGCCCGCCATTCCCGCCATACCGTCCATCGGCGGCTCCATTAACATATCCGATTCTATGGGCTCCTCCTTAAGTTAATAAAAAAGAAACTTTAATTACTAGATTTTTGTAATAAGCAATATGTGACCAACAGCATATGTGACGTGATATTATGTATTTGTTATTTGTCAATTACAGGAATAAAGATGTCCTATATTATTGAAATTTATTTTAACTACGACCGGCGTATACCTTGCTTCAGTCGTGGTCATGGGACTGGCTGGAAGCTGGACAGTATCCTTTATGTCAAAGTCAACTCTGTAACGTTAGCGCCAGATGTTTTTTCGTAGTTGGTATTTGGAGAAAATCACTAGGTCTCTCGTTTCTTTTTTGAATTGTAATTATCTTTAAAAGTGTTTTATTCTAATCCGTACTACTCGCGTTAACTACAGACAATGTTCGCTTACAATAAATAAGACTTTGTGGGCAGGTTGACATATTCATAGCTATTATAGTGCAGTATTGTTACCTTGATTGGGTAGTTGTAGTCCATGCTGTGCTGGTCAAGGTCGACCAGTTCATCCGACTGGTGCGGAGGCTCATCGGGTATCTCCCGCTTGATCGGCATGTCTGGTGCAAAACTGGGTCCAGCACCAAATTCGTCCTCTGCGAATTATAAGACATTGTTAACATTAGCCCAAGGATTCAGAATACCGCAATAAATAATAATAACTCATATTGAAGACGAAACTATTCAAAACGAGTTATGGAGAGAAAGAGTTTGTTGATACTAAAATAAATATGATAAAACCGGTGACCATTGTGCATCAATGCCTCTTTAGAGCATTTTAGGAAGAGATATCGTTATTTAAACTACAAAGTATTACATACTCTTGTGAGTGTTAGTTTAGCTACTATTGCACAATGGTCAAATAAACAAAACACGATAGGAGGCAAATAATACATGGACCAAAAAGTTTTCTATGTAAAGAAGGATGCTTTTCAATGTTAAACTCTGTAATTTCATCTTCAACGATTCCTTGAGCTGCTAAAAATAGGACGTATAACCTCAATACCTATGTAAGTATTGAGGTTCAAATTGCATTGAGCGAGAGGTACAGGTATCATTTGGTTAGAGCAGTAGCACGGTGCGCTATTTATAGGTTCTTGACCCGCACGTGTTAACATTTTTAAAATCTAAATATATTTATAATGTAATCAACTAATCATAACGATAAAAATGAAAGACAACTTTACTTAAGGTGCACCAATCCATGCAACGGCAAATTTACCTGTTTTAACAGACAACTGCACCATCGTATCACCCATTTCTTTTTGTTCCACCTCTTCCAATCCCGAACTGCCGCTATCCGAATACTGCAAATCTGTAATTTTGATACTTGTTAATATTTTCAGTACTTCAAATATTTTAGTATTACTTAAATTTTGTATTCTTATTGCATTACCATCAACCAAACTGTTTTGGTCCTTCCTTGGCCGGCCCCGTTTCCTTGGCGTCGCACCTGAAACAGATGAAGTACTATCTGTAGTTTACAGTAAAATACAATTTTATGTTGATTAATAAAAACTTTAAAAACATGTGAACTATATAGACTACCGTACATTATAATTTTGTTTATGTTTAATCTTAGGTTACACTTTTGTTCTGTAAATTTAATAAAGCACTTTAACGGTTTAAAACGTGAAATATATTAAAGCCACGAGGAGACTGTTGATAATTTTCAAATAAGTTTTTACTAATATATTTCACATTTTAAACCATTAAAATGTTTTATTTAAACTAACGAATGTGCTTGAAAAACTAGTACACTTTCAACTAAAATAATACTAAAACATATCACAACCATTACCGTCGCCAGATGTATTCGGCTTATGTTTTCTTGGGCGACCTCGTCCACGTTTCTCGTCGCTAGGCAACGAGGCGTTGGGAATGTCTTCCTCAGTATCCGTGACGTCAGCTTCCTCTAGCATCTTCTGTTGCACTCTTACTATGTTCGCTTCTAGCTGGCTAACGTGCTCGTCAAACTGTACAATTAATTATAACTAATAATATTGGTTGAATGATGGCAAGGAAAAGCTGATAATCAGCGGGAAGTGAGTTCTTCTGCACCACATCACACTTATATACTGTCTATAGTTTACGCGAGTAGTACACATTTAAATAAAACACTTCAACGGTTTCGGATGCTTTGCAGCAGCCGTGGTCACGGGGAGAAACGTCGGGTCGAAGCAAAAATCATTTTCAAATAAGATTAACTAATATATCGCGTTTTAAACCGTTAAAGTGTTTTATTTAAACACATTTAGACTTTTCTTGTTAGAGGAGAACAGACAAGCGGTTCACTTGAATGCTGGTGAAACACCCCAGCCATATAACATCTAACAAACTAAACATGTTAAGATGACAAAAGATTAATTATAGATGTAGTACCTGTTCAAGCGATTCCTGTGTGACCTTCAGCACCGCTTCAGCCTGCCTCGTGAACTGGGAATTTGGCCCATTGTACGCTCGACAGTTGTCAACTAACAGTTGTATGTCCCGCAAGAATTCCTCGCGACTGTGATATTTGTGTGCTGTAATTGACATGCCATTATTTAAATTTTAACAATTCGAGTTAAACAACTAAATTATAAACATATGAAAAAAAAAAAACAAAAAATTGCATTGTTCAGCTTTTTCATCTATGGGCGGTGGTTCATTCCGTTGATCGGTTTTATACCACTACATATTCTCCTTCTCCTATAGAATGTAGACGAACATTTGGAATTTACCACCTCGACGGAAATCGAACCAACGATCCGTTGATTGCCGATATATATATATATATATATATATATATATATATATATATATATATATATATATATATTCACCACTAAAACAGCAAGCCTCAAAGAAGTGTCTAGGGATATTATTGTATGTATTGTATTAAAATTTTGTATGCATTATATTTTTTATATTTAATATTTCTTAATAAGTACCTTGTATTTTCTTGCCAATCGTTTCCATATCAATCGGCTTCTTGATGACATTATAGTAATCCTTCACTTGTTTCTTGTTCACAGGCTTGAGGAACGGCCACGCTTCGGGCATCACCTTCAGTTTCGTTGTCAAGAGATTTTCAAATATGAAGGATAGCGCCACCTAGGAATTGACGAGATGATAGAATTAGAATAGCATTCAGGAAGTACAGGGTGGTCACGGGGAGACCTCACGGCTGCTGCAAAGCATTAGAAACGTCGGGCCGAAGTTAAAAATCATTTTCAAATAAGTTTTACTAATATATCGCATTATATCCGTTAAAGTGTTTTATTTAAATGTGTACTACTCGCGTACTATATTTATGTATTTGATAATTCTTATTTTACGATTGACATAATCCTATCAAATAGTACGAAGAAATACGTTTTAATAATAAAATTAATCTTATATATTTCTTGTTTAGGCAATATTAGTGACGTCATAAGTCTGTAAGCATTTTGTATTAACTAGACTTTTTGTTTTAATACACACTTAATTTTTGTCTATGATATTATTACTCCAATTAGCCATATAACAACTCTATATGATAGGTTGTAATTATATAGTACAAAATATACCTGATCATTGTCATCAAGCAATGGATTGATTTGTTTCTCCAGTTTCATGAACTGCTCCTCCTTTTCAGCCAATTTCTCAAAACATCTTTGCATCATGCGCTGAGCTGCCACTGTGAGACTGCTGTTAGCACCTGTTGTGAGATAGCTATCTCTTAGTTGTTTTTATTTTCTTTTCATTTGAAGGACTTATGTGTGCATATATTTATTTTTTAGCGAAAGAGGACAGACAATTATTGGATTCATTTGATGGTTGTTGAAATACCCCGTTGTATATCTAAATCTAATCGACATCTAATCAAGACGCGCATTCCACTTGTTTTGGCTTTGGATATTCGAAAAACAATGACTGAAACCGATCTGCGATTAAAATTGACGGCTTTTTCATCTGTGCTAGGTGATTCGTGACGGACGGAATTTTGATAATCCAACACATTTAAGAAAACTTATAAATTAATTTGTGAACTGTTAGACCTAGTGGGGATCGAACCCCCGACCCGTTGATTTTTAGGCATACTAGCTACCATTGCACCAACGAGCTCGTCAGAATATTATTGCAAGAATCAATAATTAATACAAAAGCCTACGTTGTGTCTATATCTATTACTCTAACTGAATCGATGGAAGTTTATTTAAGTGACAAATCTTAAAGTTGAATTTTATCAAGAATACCTTGCAGTGAAAAACTAACCATTATACAAGTTAGAGTTCTCTACGATCTGGTTAACATCGGCCAAGAACTCTTCTCGGCTCTGGTAGTGCTTCTGTCGCAAGTTCTCTCTTATCGTTTGAAGATCCATGGGCCGCGTCACGACGCGATAATAATCTGCGACTAGCTGTAAATGTAAAAGTTGGAAAAGTAAGTAAACACTGAAAAGTACGATGATAAGTTAACACGCTAGATTATCTTCTAGCTCTTAAACTACACAAACAGGTCTGTGTAGTTTAAGAGCTAGGGAGAGAGAACATACATGTCTTTCATGCATTCAGAATTTTCATAAGCTTGTAATAACCAAATATACCCATTATTTTTAGTCCAAGAATAAGTTTATTTTAAATGGCAAAATATAAAATGTGTCGAGCTATATATAGGGTTACAAGATTTATTATTACAAGGCATTGCAAAAATCATTTATTTTTTCGCCAAATACAAACTTCGTCAGAGACATCCTCCATCTTTAGTCTCCCCGTGACCACGGTTGCTGCAAAGCATCCGAAACGTCGGGCCGAAGATAAAATTAAATTTCAAACAAGTATAACTAAAATATATCGCGTATTAAACCGTGAGTGTTTTATTTCAATGTGTACTACTTACTCGCTTAAACTACAGACAGTATTTAAATAAAACAATTTAACGATATAAAACGCGATATATTTTAGTTAAAATCATTTAGTTTCGGTTACAATAGGGCTGACTTAGTCACAAAGTTTCACCAGAACATTTTGGTAGTAAAAAAAAGTACTCACTTTCGGATTAACTGGAAACAAAAACGGCTGTACATCCGGTAAATGTCTCATAGTGTTGAGCACGTCTTCTAATAACGACGACAGTGTGACTAACGGGTCCGTGCGGCGTCTCTCAGCCGGTCGTTTGACCAGATAGTCACAGGACTCGCTGGCGGTTCCACGTCGCCTGTTACGTCCGCCCGCGCGAATTTCTCCTCGACGACTGCCGCTGCGACGCCGAAATTCTTCAGCTGATTGCTGTTCAGTCAATATTGAATTAAACTTCAATAATAAAATATAAAGAAAATACTAAACATAATATTATCGGGATCCACGTCTTGAGTAATAGTTATAGTTTATAAAACTGAAGAGACTCTTTCCAAAAAAAAATAACACGTGCACAGTTAGTATGAACGTTATATAGAAAGAAATTTAGCATATATGTAACTTAAAAGGGCGAATTATCTAATCTAATGTTGTTCCTCCATTCCATTTCTTCCAAAATTAAAAAAAAAAACTACTAGAAACGAACATTTATTGTATAAATGTTTACCTTAACAATCTTTGAAGGCAACGTGAGTTTGGTTCCCTCTACGTACGTGAGATCTTCATCAACCGGTTCGATATCTCGCTCGTCCCTGTCCGGAGACGACGGCCCCCCCTCCACCAGTGTACAGTGGGCAAGCTTTGTTCGTACGCATGTGCCCCACTTGGCCGCAAGCACCACACTAGTAATATAATATACATTAACACTGGTTTATAACAAAGAGAACGAAAGCTGTATCTAATATGTACACTATAGACTAATAAAATTAAATAAGAACTAAATTTTTATATTCTATATTTACGATGAAAGCTAAGTACTAAATATATATGACGACAAAAAAAGGTATTCTATAGATATATATTAATCTCTATCATTAGACTTAGTGTATTGTTATATTTGTGTAACACTAAATAAAGTATTGTCTGTCAAAAATGATTTCAACCACCATGTAAGAGCTAAGAAATAAATTTCAATAAATTTAAATAAGTATTTAAATAAAACACTTTAACGGCTTAAAACGCAATATATTAGTTAAACTTATTTGAAAAATGATTTTTAACTTCGGCCCGACGGTTCGGATGCTTGCAGCAGCCGTGGTCACGGGGAAACGTCGGGCCGAAGTTAAAAATCATTTTTCAAATAAGTTTAACTAATATATTCCGTTTTAAGCCGTTAAAGTGTTTTATTTAAATGTGTACTACTCGCGTAAACTACAGACAGTATTTAAAGTATAAGTATAAAAAACAGCAAATACTGTAATTTAAAAATTTTAAATGATTTTTTAAATATAAAAATAAACTCTTGAGTCTCCTTCCTTTTCTCAAATAAGGATTGTTTCTTTTTTTTATTATCTTCGACGCAAGCGCACGGGGATATGTAAAAAATAAAAATGTACCTTAAAAAACTTGACAAATTAAAAAATAAACCTTTTACTTAGTGTTACCTGTACCTTTAACTTGAGATCAGGTTTGAGCTTTGCTCGCCTTCGGGACGGTGTCTGAAGATCTGGTTCTTGTTTAATTTGCCCCAATGGTATCAATCCAGGAGACGCAGAGCCCAAGTCACCCATGGAAGACATGCCTATAAAAAAATAGGTTAAATAAAACACTTTTAATTGTTAACGTCTAACCTATTTAAATCTCGGGCCGAAGTTTCAGCTGTTAAAGTAAATAAAGGCTGCTAACTACTGTTTAAAACCGTTAAATTTTCATTTAAATAAAGTACAGACGCTATTTTTAGCATTTTTAAACTTACTGTCACCACCCATCGAAGAAGGTACTGAAGGATTTCCAGCGAGTCTCTCCCTTTCTTGATTTCTTTTGATACGGCGCAGTTGCTCCTAATATATAAAAAAAATGTAAGAAAAGGTACATTAGAATTTGTATTGATTTTTTTAAATATATTCTATTCATAAATAAGACAAAATAAATCATTGTTCTATGAGTTAGATGACTAAATTTTGCTAAACGTACTTTCTTAATAGACACTCGAGTGGAAATTAATAAACAAAACAATACATTTCCGTTCAAATAGGCGTATTACCTGAATTCTTCTCTTCTCTCGTTTCATCTCTTCCTTTTGTGTTTCGTCCATAGTGGCGAACTGTCGAATAAAAGCATCGTCCTTCGTCGAGCGTATCTTTGTATAGGCTTCGATAACAGCTTGTTTACGCACAAGTTCTACGCGCGTGTACCTTTGTCCAGACGCGTTACGAAACGTTCGAACGATTCGCAGTACACGACCTAGAATAATATTATTAAAAACATTAGCCTACCGAACTTCAAAACTATTATAAAATTTAATACAATAAGGAGGGATGTAGACAAATGACTTGCAAATTGAATACCTTGATTAGATGTTTGTTGATCACTTTGATTGATCTGTGGCTTCTTCTCAGACTGTCCAAGAATCATTTTGCGAAGTTCAGCTCTTTCTGCTTCCTCTCTTTCTAGCGTAAGCTATAGATAAATTAATTATCAATACTATATGTGTAATTTAAAATTATAAGCCATATGAAAATATGTTAGCAATTGGTATATTTAAACATACGATATTGAACATAACGACACTTAAAATTTGACATTACACCAATCTAGAACTGAATACAATATTTATCCTTTCACGTGAATGAAAGGTTTATATTTCTTTTATAAAAAAATAATATATTAAAATTATTACACACTTTACTAATCAAACTATATTTTTAATATACATAATACGAAATACCTGTTCAGTAGTCTTCTTATTAGCCAACATATTCTCCAAATTCTTTCCCATCTCTTCTAGATCTGACTCTTCGCTGACAGAACTCTCTGCTTCGTCAGTACTGAGCACTTCTGTGCTTTGAAGTACCCGATTTTGGAGCTCGAATATACGTTGACATTCTTCTTTGTATCTGTTGAAAATATTGTATTAGACTTGTTTTATTATTTATCTATGAATCTTGATAACCTTATTGATATAAGTAACTATTGGTAGTGGTTGTGGGTCGTCCATTCGATCTCTACCGGTTCCTACATGTAATCTATTTATTTTTTTCTGAAACGTGTTGGATTCCGTCCGGAGATCTGGATATTAAAAGGATGGTAGAAATATCGAAATTCCACACAAGTCACGAACCACCGTCCACAGATGAAAAAAGCGATGAAATTTAATCGCATTTCAATTCAGTCTGTTAACTTTCGAATATCCGATTGTCCAAAGACTGGGGCATTTTCCTTCAAACAAGTGAACCCTAGGCTTGTCTGTCCTTTTATATCTCTATTATAAAAATATTGTTAACATCGACAATGAATAACAAAAACCACCTTTCTTGATGTTCAGCTATCGAAAATCTGTTTCCACGTGAGAACTTCGTCATACCCTCTTCTCCGGCCTTAGCTTTTTCCGTAGACAGTGTTCTTACGACATCGATAACCTCCCATCGTGACAATTTCTTGATCTGAAATGCGTGTAAATTTCATGTTAATATTATTTACAAATCAGCTATATTTCACAGTATTTTGAATGAACAACGATTCTTTTAAAATATCTATTTATTTTATTAACAATTACAAATATTTAAATAAAACATATTAAAGATTAAAAACAAGAAATATATTATTAAAACTTATATATTTCGATTTTTAAACCGTTATTGATTTATTGAAATGACTGCAACTCGCGTAAACTACAGACAAACTTAATTTCAAAATCTCATATAGACTCTAAGGCATTTATTCGCTGCGAAGTGACTAAAAGACACCAACCTCTTCTTCAGGTACACCAAACTTCCGGAGTAATGCTTTGGCGTTATTCAAACTCAACCTTCTCAAATCAGCATCAGTACCAGTAACAGTTCTCTTTGGCTGTTGTTCTTCGCTAGGTTGCTGCGTGGGTTTGTTCGGGACACGGACGTAGGAGAATCCTTCACCACAGCCCGTAGGGTCAGCCGGGCCAGTTAGTTGTAACAAGCATTTACCGCGCATCGCTTGTATGTATGCTCGTGTGGTGTTCCATGGAGCTACTTTAACCTGGAATGAAAAATTTTGTGATTAACCTTAAGGTTGTATTGACTTGAAAAGGAACGAGCCTGAAATAACTCATAATAGAAATATTTGTATCTATATGGTATATAAAGGTATAGTTTGTTTGTTTAAACTCGCTATAAAACATTTCCATTAGAACAAAGAAACAGTGGGAAATGTGGAAAAAACGGGGAAAATTATCCCTCTTTAAACGACCTAAAAATATGTGCGCGACAGTATATGTCTACGTTTTTAATAATAACTTGCAAAAACGATGGGACAGTAACGGCAAAAAACTGTAAAGTCGCTGACACAGCAAGTAAATACCAACCTCATCATCCATCTTCAACTGCAGTTCCTCATCGTCATCCTCCTGCGGAGTAAAAATAAATTTCTCTCCATAACCAGCATCCTTTAGTCTCTGCTCAGCAGAAGCCATGCTGAAGTATGCACAGCATTGTTCAGGAGATACCATTGCGCGAATCTCCTCTTCAGAAGGCAGACGGAAGTCTGGTTTTATTACCCACCTAAATGATTTACAAAAACATTAACTAAATCAATGTTATTCTGAATCGTTGATCAACTCAAATTTATTTTCTTTTAGCTGACCAATTTAAATCAATATAATTGTAAACTAAAGTATCATTTTAAATGTTAATCTTTTAATTTAACGCGGGAAGGAGCAACACAAGTTAGTCGTAAACTTACTGGATTAGGCTCAATACAATTTGTAATTTGATTATTAAGAGAGAGACAATGAACAAATTCAATTTTTATTTACTAGACAAGGAAAAGATATGGTTGCTCGAAATCTGAATTTGGTTAAATTACTCATTAGTATTACTAAAATACTATTGAAAATTGCTAAAATTAGGGAACATCTCATAGCACTTTTAGATAATTACAACGGCTGTTAGTACTATAATTTTTTGAGACGATTTTTTTTATTAATGTACTGTATGTGCTTGTACAAAAAAATACCAGTTAGAGTCTAATCCTGTCCGCTTGAAGTCCGCACAGAGTTTTAGACGCTTTCTTATAGAACTCTCCGAATGCGACGGAAATGCTCTTTTTATGTCATCCATTTTAATACGCCTTGGATTATCACGAGATTTCCAGAACAATCTATATATGAAGACCTAAAATATTTCCAGATATATTTAAAAAGGGTTAGAACATTATTATCTTTTAGCACTAGGAGTAAAAATTACCTGTAAAAAGTCCCTCACAAAATTATTTGCTCTCTTTGAGTTAGGCCCTGGAACTTCATATAGTGGACACTCTTGACCAGCTACGAACAGAGCGTCAACTTCTCTTATATAATACGATTGCCTGCCAATAAACGGTAAATTTTAAAACTAAACAAACAATTTTAACGTAAAATACTTAATTAAAAGGATCTAAGAATAAACCAATTCATTTATACAAAAAATTAATAAAGGTCTTATAGTATATAGAACAATATGGACTAATATAAAAACATTATTTCTGATCCTTGTGGAAGTAATTAGACATAAGGTATGGCAGAATTTCAAGTAATTAAAATTATAACAAGTACTGTAATAATGTTTAATATTATTTAAAAAATCAAATAATGCATCTTTTAGATATAAAATTTACCTCTTTCTGGGAAAAAGTATGGACAAAGACGTGAAACCAATACCAACCTAGTCCTGATAACGAGGAAGTCTGTCTGTGGCAACGCGTGTTCGTATATCGGCGCTCGGTACATATTATTTTCAACAACAGGTTGCGTAGCACCAGGCGGTAAGATACCGAGGAACGGTGACGTATGCGCGTACGCAATCTCGCCATATTTTAACGGTTTCGGGCCGTTATCCTGGAAAAAATTGAACAGTTTGTTATACGAGACAAACTATAAGTACATGAGATCCCTAACATTTCGCAATGTAATTTATCAAGTTATAACAATAAGAAAGCTCTTACGAAATTTTATTCAGAGAAACTGAATACAACGAATAATAGTTTCTATGGAAAAGTGTAAAAACCATAAATATATCTTTGATTTTTTTGAAATACATACTTTGGTAGCAGTGCGTTTGTAATAATTCTTAATCTTAGTGCACATCCCCACTTGACTGATGAGTGGCGGGTGCTCTTCACAGAACTCCAGAAGTACTAGCTCGCCATCTCTTCCACTAAGATCCTCGGGCGTTCTCATGAAGAATACATCTCCTCCTCCCGACGCTAGACGTTCCGCTTCCCGTTGCTAGGAATCATGGCACAAAAATTATAAAAAATAATTAACGCTATATAAATAAAAAGTAACAGACCATAATAGTAACAATAGTAGACTAAAAAGAAAAAAATATACATTTGCTTTGCACAAAATAATACTTATATTGATGTAGTTCTATTTACCTACATCAAAATATAGAATACTTTAATTTTTTTCTAATATAATTTGAACTTTTGAAGCAAATATACAAATGGGATTGAGAACCTAAATTTTTTCTGTTAAAAACAATCCAGTATTTTATTATTGTTTATAAGTTATTTTAATTATATAGTTGAATACTTGCGTTTATACGTATACGTTGAACTATTAAGAAGAAGAAGATTCATTGTAGTTTATGGTTTGAAATAGCAATAACAAGCTTTATCTAAAAAGCTTTCTTTGAATACAACGGTGCGTCCTCACAAAACAGATAATAAGAAAGACCACTAAACCCTTAAGAGGAGTTATCATCAAACCCACGTCTCTATTTAACTTCAACATTTAGTATAAGTGTTATATACCTTAGCCTTCTTCTTTATATGCTTCAAAAGGGGTTGTACTGGGTGCGGTCCTGGAGCAGCTAGAGGGCCGTAGGTCAGCTTACGCATTGCGGGGCGGTGGAAAGCGCGCAATCTCGCTGGACCCATGTGAGTTTGGATGAACGGCGCTCTCAACTCGACTACAGGCGTACTATGCTGGATTAGTTGTCCACCACCGACTTTTAGACGTGGATTTTGTGACTTCGGTTGGTAGAAACTGCAGAGGGTATAAGTATGGTTAAAATTAGAAATCTGTTTAGGTTATTAGTTACGGGCCCACCGTCTTCCATGCTGCTGCTTTAAAAAGCAGCGGCCGGCATCCACAGCGCGGGACGCTGTGGATGCCGGTTCAAGTCCTGCTAGTGTCATTAATTTTTTCCATCTAAATAGATTTTTCATTTATTTAATGCCATAATGTGCAATAACTATGTAAGTATGGATTACTTGAAATTTACTATACCAATGCTATTAAAACAAGCTTTCACTGACGAATTACTATACTACGGCAAAGTTGTTAACTGTGGCTTTAACTTCACTTAACAGCCACGTTATTATTATTATTATTTTCTATCGGGGACACCCTTGGCAGAACGGGTGATTAGTCCACGTTGTCCGCTGACCATTTCACCCATTTCTACATAACGGCCACGTTGGTGATAGACAGTTGAACAGGGAGCACGTGTCTGGTACATAGGCGAAATAAATATAATGCTACCAGCCCTCTTTTAGAAGTCGAATAAAATAATTAAGATATAATTGGTCCACTAGTTTTTTACGTCACTTTGGTTCATTATTAATGAACCAAAGTCCCTATTTTACTTACAAATTGTTACAAATAACCCACTCTATATTTTTTTTGTTTCGTAATAAACTTACACGTCGTTGGAGATGTTGAACGGATCTCTATCCGGCGATTTTGGTGGTGGCGGCGGAGCATCTTCCTGCAGTACGTTGATCACACCAGCTTTTCCCAACAATATTTTAGATTTCTTCACGTGAGGATGTGGAATTTTCACTTTTGGTTGAGGTCCCCTTTCTACAAAGAACATATGAGTTAGCCCAAGAATATATATTTATATATTTGCTTATTATAAACGCGAGAAGTAAGTAGTACGTCTTAAAAGAATGATTTAGTAGTATACAATAAAGTGAAAAGGTTGTTAATGCAACACACGATTATCCACAACAACCATTATTTTACGTGTTTTTTATCGTCTGTATTTAATATTTAAATAACTATAAATATCCCGTTATAATCTGTTACATATATCTGTTAATACATCCACATTGTTTGTCTAAAGTACATACCTCTTGTTATCTTGGACGGATCAACATCGTCAGGTATACCCAGAATTATATTTTCATCATTAGGATCCAAAGTCAATATCTTTGGTTTGGGTATTTTGGGCATATTCTCTGCATCCCATATAACCTCATCCTCCCACGTACCGTACACTAACTCTTCATTCTCCACCGGAAATATACTGTACCAAGTGTTATCCTCCCCTTCTCCTGGATTTGCTGGGTTAGACGTAGCCGAGCTAAAAATAATCGTAATATATATTTTAATTTAAACCTATGAAAAAATAACTTAAGTTTATTTTGCTACTTTCTAGGTCTGTTTAACAGTTGCTTAGTTATTATTGATTGAAATTGATATTGTCATCCTTTACTGTCCCAATACCGCTTAATCTTTACATAACTAATGTATGTGTCTTGTATTGTATCTTTTCAGTAATTAATTTTATCTATAAAATTTGTGACTTAAATCGCAATCTTTATTTCCATTATTTGAAACCACCATTTAAAACAATGCTAACTGATAAGTTTTATTTCCAAAGACACAAATATGATGTAGAATACAAATTACTCACGTTGCTGGTTTAGCCTGTAAAGGTGCAGGTGGTTGTGGCCTTGGATGAGAAAACTGTTGTGCTGTACGACTGACTGAAGTTGGTACCCAGCCTGCCGCATTACTTTTGCTGTTCAGTCGAGCTAGAACCTAATAACGGTAATAATTAATAAATAAAATTGCAGAAATAGCTAAAATAAGATTAGAGAAGTGTTAATGAAATAAGAATAAAAAGTGTTAAAATAAAATTAAAGAAATGTTATATTTCTAACATACCTTCCTTTTAAAAATCTAAATAAATACACATACAGGTCTACACGGTCATGAGTATGAGATGTCAACTGACAGCGAAACAAAATGAGAAGTTAGTTTGTTCAACAGAGCCAAAGAGTGCAAAACAGTCAATTTAAATCGAACCACAAAGCATATAACAAGTCTCTAAAAACTGTACTACCTTTTTGTAAATAGCTTTCTTTAGTATGCAACCTGCATATACATTAGGCCTTACTGATTCCACTTACAAATCTTTTATGCCTCCCTCTTATATCTTTTATGTTTGCAATGTATTTTAATAACATTACATGTCACTGGATTACCTTATGTTTAATCTCATTTCCATCCCATATAACATCGTCCTCCCACTGCAACTGGGAGACCATAAGGAAGGAATCATCAGGAAAGCCGCTATCAGGGCTGTCAGATTTCTCTAGGTCTTCTGGTATTTCTTCCTTTTTTATTTTATCGTCGCGTTCGGGTGAAGGTGCCTGCATTTTGATTATTAGAAGTGAATAAAAATAAATTATTGACTCAGTTTAAAATAGTTTGGTAGATTTTTCTATAATTGCTTACAACGAACTTATATTAGAACAAATGCCCATTTTAGGCCACAGACAGATTATTACATTAGAAAATAATATAAGAATAAATATAAGATAAACTATAATTTTATCTTAATGTTAACAGCAAAAATTTATATAGTCTTGCAGAATATCCTTCACATTGTCTATATTGATTTGTGAGTTCAAGAACAAAAGTAATTTACTTATAAATACCATTAAATTGTTATTATACCCACCTTAACTTTAAATCCATAATCAAATCCATCTCCCGTTTCTGGCACATTTAACATGTCATACCAAGCTTGGGCGGGACCAAATCTCCAATGAGCTGGAGTGACTCTCTGGCTTTTGTCATTCTTGTCACCTGAGGAATTGCTATCTTGCTGATTTGACTGTTGATTCTCCTCCATAGGTCTGAAAATACCAAAGAAAACAAATAGTAAGATAAAACATTCCACAGAGCAAGTCAAATCTCCAAGGAAAAAACCATATTATAACTTATGTATTACAGAAACAGGATTTTAATAAGGAAACCTAAAATATAAAAAACATCACATAGGAAATCTTACTTGAGAAATTTATCTTCATCATCGCTTGCATACTGTGGTTCCTGTAACTCTGCCTGAGTTGGGGTGTCTGAGCCAGTACTGCCACTTCTCTTACGCCGCCTACGCTTTTTAACACCACGCCAGATTTGAGGAAGACTTGAAAGTTTTCCAGGTCCAAATAAGCGAGAGAATAATAGAACCTGTTAATGTTAAGAATTTATATATGTTGAAGGGAAATATACTAAATTTGGCAATGGCTTTTTATATTTTAAATGTCTTTTTAAATTTTAAATACCTGACAAAAACAGCAGGGAAATAGGAACGGTAAGGTAAGGTACATTCTATTCCAATCACTCATATATTATAAAAACAAAAGGCTTACTTTGTCTTCTCTGAAGTCAGGAAATAATTCTGTCACATCAACATTAGCATATTTAGATGGAAGCATTGCGGCCAGTGGAGTATCCAACTTTCGGGGTTTGTCTGATTTCTGTTTTCTAAGAGAAAAGTTTAGAAATTTAGTAATCCTATTAAGAAACATGATTTGAGTAAACTAATATGAAATTCTTACGGAACAGTGCTTGGTGGAGGCATAAGTCCTCCATCACCTTCCATGTCACCCTCGTAGCCCTCATCATTTCTGACTTCATACTGTTCTTCACCATCCTTCCACACTTCATTGCCACTTTCATTGTTTTCAGCTTTAAAAGTTTGTTCCAATTCATTACTTATTTTATTCTGACCACCAGTCCTTAAACTATCATTTCCTTGTTGTTCAAGTCCTAGTTCCTGCAAGAAAAAGGTTATGCTACAGTACTTTTTTTACTGGGTACTTTGCTCATTTATTTTTGTATTATTTATAAATGAAAATACAATTTAAACAAATACCTTAAGATCATCATCAGCAGCATCGTCAATATCGAAGAAATCTACTGCCGATGGACTCTTTTGGCTGTAATCTACAATAAAACTAATCAATATAATACACCGTGAAAGAAGCGAAGCCAAGCATCTAAGCATCCTTACCTTTCTCTTCTTCCTCTTTAACAGGTTCCTCAGAGTCTAAAACTTCGGAGAGCATAGATCCTAAGCCGAGTCGGTTGAGGGAGGCAAGCATGCGCTTCGAATCTCCATCAAGTAATCCATCGTCTTCGAGTTGACCTCTTTCATCTATATTGCCAAACAGAAACCCGGTTAAGTCCAGGCCTCCGCGTTGTTCACCCGGGTCATCACTGTCACACATTTTTCTGACACTTCACTAAAAGAATACTCTTAGATTCAATTGTTTCATTAAGAAATTATATTATGTGCATGTTGTTAACTTAATAACTATTTTTCAATAATTTACAAAATACAAGCCGTCAGCGTTTACTTAACAAGTCAATTGTCATACCTTTGCAATGACAGTGATAAGCGAAAACAACAGATAAAATATAGATTCAAAACCATACATTGTTCGTGCCACAGTAAATACATAAATATGGAGTTCTGCATAATTCGCATATCAATATATTATGTATAATATAAAAAATTCAGGTTTATTAGTAAAAAAATAACTATAACGTAGTTTTTTCAGGATTTAGTTCATAACTTTACATATTGGAATATTAATTTTATTTGTCGCCTTTATCTCGATTGATAAGATGTTCAAAAATGTAAGCGTTTTTATGATATCTTGTTCATTAAAACGAATACTTATGCAGTTTAAAAAGAATATGTAAAAATTACTGCTCCCTCCTGAAGACACTGAATTTTTAAATACTGTCTATAGTTTACGCGAGTAGTACACATTTGAATAAAACACTTTAACGGTTTAAAACGCGATATATTAGTTAAACTTTGTTAGCCGAAGTTCGGCCCGACGTTTCTGAATTTTTGTTATGTTCTTAAATATTATAATATTGTCTTTGTGGAATGTGGAAACTAAGTTATAATTTACGAAACTACTAACCCTTACGTAATAATTTATTGCGCATCCCTTTGACGCTGTCCCTTGTGTTAGATACTTGAGATAATATGAACACGAGACTAAAATGTCTTCGGAAAATTGATTACAATCTAATTTACAGCTCAGCTGCCATAAACTTTGAGGGTGTCTACAAGTTTGTCAAACAACGTGTTATTTTTAAATTCGTCATTAACACATCGTACTGTCTGACAACTGTTTAAATAATACACATAATAAATAATAACCTATCACTTAATTATTTCCTTCAACCAAATATTATATTTCCACAGAATTTAAAACCTTGGAGTACTACACGAAAGGCAACATACAATAAAGTGCTTACTACTTAATTTAATTGTCATCGCTAGATCACAGTAAGACGTTGCAAGGTGAAAGTTAAATAATTTAATGTTTAAATAAAATAGCTGGCCAACTGGTCGCGTAACTTGGTAAACATTTCTGTAATTCCCATTAGCGCCCATCGCAGAAGTTGGCACAACCGTTTGTAGACGGGCACAATTATTATATTCGCTGCAGCGTCGTCCGCTTGAATATTATTTTGTTCCACGACAAAGGTTTTATATTGAAATCGTTGAGACTTCACCATTATTTCAACTGTTATTAAATATTCCGCCCTTTATCAGAATTGTAAGAACGATATTAAATGCCTTATTTAAATTTTGCAATTAGGGTTAGGATAACACAAAACGACGACGAGTATTTTATAGTAGATAAAAAAATCTTATGATAAAACACTGCTATAGATCGTATATAAACCGATACCAATAATTTTTTGGTAGACTTTATTTAATTAGTACCAATCCATTAATTATAATTATCGGAAACTGAGTGTAACTTTTTATTAAGGGTAACTATTTTTATTTAATTTGAACTAACTAAACTAAAACTCGGCTCTCGGCGAATTTGTATAACTTAACTATAAACGTCGAATTAAATATAAATTCCATTAGTTTATAAACACTAATATTGAAGTAGTAAAAAAATATTAAGGTACAATTGATTTTTAAAATATTATAAATAAAATTCATAGGTATAATACCTAGGTATTACAATAATAAGGGATAATAATAAACGTAATTGATCCTATATACATACCTGCTCGGTCATTTCACTAATCGGATCACCGCTGTTAACAGTGTGCCTAATCCCATTTAATTTCTATAGAATTTAAGTAACACAAGCGAGTTAATTTTAAATATATTATCTGGAAAGAAAATTGATGATATGAGGTACTACTATGTTTATAATTTGTATTGACATATAAAAATATTGATAAGTTTTGATAATGTCTTTCTTTAGAAACCTTTGAAAACTTTAATATTTTTGACATATGATGGCATTATATAGTGCCATCGGAATCATGACTCGGAAGCTAAATTGGTTAGAGAAACAGCACGGAACGGTTCCTGCCCGAGTCGTAATTTCTTTTTAATTTCTAAACGGATTTATAATAATATCTTTTTCTATATTTTATTTTAACACGAATAATACTTCAGGTTTATTTGTCTATGAACAGTGGTTAGTAATCCCGACGGAAATTTCATATTTTACATTATTTCATTTATGGGCTACAAATACGTCGAATCAATTAAAATAATATGATGTAGATATTAAAAATGTTTTGTTATAATTTCCTATCACCATAAGCACGTCTGTTTCCTTAATTTGCGGTCAAGACAAGAGGGGTATAAATTATAGAAGGGGGAAATTTTCCCACAAAACATAACTTTTCACATAAACTGAAAAAGGTTGAATCGTGCACAATCACGGCATGCCCCTCGCGTGCCCACTGTTATTCTTGTTAATGTGTGTTAGCAACATTTTTATAGGAGCCACGAGTTATAAATAGTAAATATTGCATCTATTTTTTGGGGTTCCGCTCGAACATAACGCAGCCGACGTAATAAAAAAAGGTTTATTTTGACATTTACTTTTTTAATGATAGAGAAGGACAGACAAACATGGTGTTCTCTTTATCGTAGGTGAAATAACCGCCTATAGCTTGTAAACAAGATGTTCTGTCGAGGTCGACGGGGGCGACGAAAAGTAGGTAGTTTTACTTGGATATTTGGAAATCCACAGACTGAAACCGAAACGTGATATAACTTCAAGGCCTTTTCGCCAGTGGACAGTGGTTCGTGAGCCGGACGGAATTTCGATATTCCTGCCACCCATATATTAACCAGATTTTAGGACGAAGTCCAATGTGGTTCTGAAAAACTATGATTTGATTAGAAAAATGTTGGACCCGGTGGGAATTATTAGCCATCACGTGTTTTTATATTTTTGTATTTCATATCTACCTCTTGTCTTGTTTAATTTTCACTGCTTAACCGAAAGTATGTATTTTGCATTACTTGGGTTGGATCAGGGCCTTCTATCATAAATCACTACACCGTTTTTTCATAAACATTTATTAAATTGAAATAACACGTTAGTAGAGTTAGTATTAAAAAAGATAGTAACATGAAATATCAGGAAACTGAAAGCGACTTTAGCGATAACCTAATACGGAACCCTTACTTATTTAACGTTGTAATAAAACACTTTTAGAAATAGAACTACAAATTATTACTTAAGCTTCCGAATTATAGGCACAATAAGTTCTATGATTTGTCAAACAACAAGAATCAATATGTTTTCCAGGCTTTCTCGTTTCTCTCATTAGATGACAGAGATACTAAAATAGGCTTTGACGAAATTTCATCTAATTTGGACCCTGCGTAACATTGTTTCGTAATATACGGACTTTCAACAGATCTAACGACATTGTTATGAGATTCTTCTGGATATAAATATCTCATAAAATAAATAATATTTCACTGAACTGATCCTTTTCTGGAATTATAAAAAACAAACAAAAACGTATTTACGTTAATTCAAATTGCTTTATATTATGCCGAAGTATTTACTAGTAAGTAACTATATGATATAATTTGAGATTAAGGTAATATCATCGTAAAATCTAATGTGTAATTTGCTATAAGCAGAAATGTGATTATTACACACTAAACTAACTGAGATAAACCCGCACATTAGTTACACAGCTATTCAGCTATTCAGAGTTACTTAGCTTAGCGAGAGTTAGACAATATTACTAAAGAAAGTATAGATTATATTATACTGTTATAAAAGTCAGTGTTAAAAATCATTTATTCACGTAGGTAACTTATAAATGTCAAACCAGTTAAAAAATTACTATATTTACATTTACTACCAGTTCTCAAATCAAGGGCGTAGAAAACGAGAAGAACTGGCAAGAACACGTATTTTTTTCCTGAGGCATGAATATCAGGCAAAGATAGATAAATGCGTTAGCATGCATTTAAAGGTCGAAAAAAATCGACGGTGACGTGTAAGTTATCCTCAGTTACCGTTACCGCGATAACGTTATTTTAAAAAAGATACCGCTTAAAACGTCCCACAGACGATCAATATTATTGTGCAATTTGGATTGCACAATACTTTGACGGCTACCCACAGACGCTTCAATGTCGTCTACCCACGATCAATTTTATTGCACAAACCATCATATTTCACAATAATATTGTACATCTATGAGCCGCTGTACGTGCCGTCCATGGCGTAACTTTTTTTTACTCAAAATATATTTTTAATTTTTACAAAGGTAGCCATTTCAGATTTATTTATTTACAACCAATTTGTGACCTCTGAAACTGACTCAAAACTCAGGTTAGCTTATCGTACAGCAACCATTTTATAAATAAGTCGTGAAATAGCTCCTATTGTTGGTTGCAAATATGATTTAGATTTTATAAAGTCTGCTTAAACGTTACTAAATAAATAGTAAATACTGTCTGTAGTTTATGCAAATAGTACACATTTATATAAAACACTTTAACAGTTTAAAACACGATATATGTTAGTTAAACTTATTAGAAAATTATTTTATCTACGAGCCGATGTTTCAGATGCTTTGCAGAGCCGTGGTCACGGGGAGAAAATAATTATGCTTATTGATCCCTTCAACGATGCAGGAGCGGTATCTAAAAGAGATTTAATTGAGTGCTTTTCACAAATAACTGTAGGTAACTAAATTGCTCTACTAAAATCGTCATTAACATTATACTAAACACACAAAATGCTCAGTATTCTAATGAGGTCTGCGCTAATCGTTTTCAAGCTAAGCAAAAATCCTCAGAGGCCCAGAGTGATTTAGTTTGAACGTGCAGACCATTACGAATGAATTTTAAAAGCTTATCTCACAAGCATGGTTGGATAGGGCCATTGAAATTGTTGAACGAAATTTTAAT